CGTCTTCTACAGCGAGCCGGGGGTGCTGGGGCTGCTCGGCAACGTGGTCAGCGCCTTCCTCCTGTGCCTGCAGAACTTCACCGTGGCCAGAACCGGCCTCGGGCCCCGGGCAGCAGAGCAGGTCCTGGCAGGTGGGTGCTGCTGCTCAGGGTGGCGTGGGTGCGGCTGAGCATCCCCTACACTCTTTGAGGGTCATCCCCAATGGGTACTACTGGTGGGACGGTGGGGAAATGTGGGCTGCGTCCATCGTGCAGGTCGGTGTGCTCCTGGGGATGGCTGCTCCTCCCCCCGCAGCCAGTGGGCCAAATATTCCAGGTGCCATTCCCTGCTAGATCCAAACTGTCCTTGGGGCCTGCTCACCACACTGAGCCAAGGGGCTTAGGGGCCACACAAAGAAATTTCCCATAAAGGTGGGAAGAGGGGCAGACAGAGGCCACAAGGTTGCTCACAGGAAGGCCATGGGACCTGCCATGGGGTGTGCCCTAGAGCTTCCTGCAGCTCCAGCCTTTTTGTACTTGGCTTCACATCTGACTCCTTTCTGCATCTCTCAGGTGTCCACCTCATCCTGATTGGAGGCTTTGTCCAGCTCCTGGCCGGATTTCTCGCCTTCCGCAAGTATGACCACCTAGGAGGCGCGGCGTTCCTCACCTTCTCTGCTCTGTGGAGCAGCTATGGGGCCACAAAGGTCCTGTCTGCCGCGTATCCCTCCCCAGAGAACACAACGTTCCCCTCCGGGAACACCAGCCAGCTCCCGGCCACCAGCACAGCCCTGCTCTCGGCCAGCCAGAGCTCCGTGGCTGGGCTGGTGGCCTACATTGCCATCTCCTTCATCCTGTCCTTCTGCTCGGCCACCGTCAACTACATCATGCCCTTCATCTTCGGGGCCATCGCGCTGGCCCTGGGCTTCGAGGCGGTCGCGCTCTTCGGGGACTGGGCCCTGGTGGTGTCCGGAGTCCTGGAGCTGGGCATCGTCCTGTGCGGGCTGTACGGGGCTGTGGCTCTGCTCCTGAAGGGCATCACCCAGCGATACGTCCTGCCCGGCTTTGGGCACCCCCTCTTCAATGTCCTGCTGCTGGGATCAGCACAGAAAAGCTCCTCCAAGGCCCTCGGGGAAGAAAAGAAGAAGAACACCAAGTACGCGGAGCCGATGGCCCTGGGGAACATCTGCGACACCGTGTCACCCTTTATATTTGCCTTTTACTTTTTTGGGTACATGAAGACATTCTGTGTGGGGGCAGCGTGGATTTCCATCATCTCCAGCTGCCAGCTGCTCTCCAGCTTCTACAGCTACCTCAGAGGGGATGGCTACCACACCACCAAGTTTGGTGTCCACAGCCTCCTCTGGCTGGTGATGTCCTGGGAGGAGTTTGTGCTCACCACCTTCCTCGGGCTGCCCGCGGCTCAGGACAGCAGGCTGGCAATGTTTGGAGCGTGGTTCTTCCTGGCCATTGCCTGCCTGCTCTTTTTGATGTCGACCCACAAAGACACCCTGGAGATGCTGCAGAACGCCTCCTTCATCCTCCTCACCTTGGCCTTCATCCACCAGATCCCTCTGCCCGGCGCCCGGCCCTTCCTGGGGGCCGCCTGCAGCCTCTGCACCGCGCTCTCCCTGTACGCCGCCTTCGCCAGCCTCATCAACTCCATCGGGGAGAAGGCTCTGATTCCCGTGGGTGCCCAAGCTGTGCCCAGCTCAGCTCTCCAGGCTATGCTAGGGACTGTCCAGAGCTGGCTCTCGAGGTCCAAGGACATTCCCAGTGGCACCAGTGCCGCTGTGCCGGACTCATTGTTCTACATCTGCAATGGCCTGGCTGCGGCCGCCGCCCTCCAGGGCAACGTGGGTGCCCCGGGCAGGCAGCAGCTCTCCATCCCCTCCGTGCTCATCCCGGGAGCCCTGGGACAGCTGTTTGTGTGCCGGATCCAGGTGCAGGGCGGGAAGAGGTTTGGGTCTGTGCTCCCCTTCTGCTATGCTGCCTTCTGGGCAGGCTGGACCTGGCTGCGCCTGGCAGGTAAAGCACAGGATGGTTCCTGGTTTAAGGGGTGTTCCCAGATTGCTTTCTCTGACAGAATTCCTTCTTTCAGGAGAGTCAGTGACATCAGGTTTACTGATATTGCTCATTGGAAAAAGATAATTCACCAATCACCCCAGTCTGCACTCGGTTGCCATTGCTGCAGGCACTTGATGCTCTCAGTTCCAGGAGTCCAAGTTGTGCCTTCAACTCCAATAAAAGCCAAGATTTCCCTGCAAAAACATTGTGAGACAGGGCTGGCTCTGGGCTGCTATCTCAGAATAACAACACAGGAGATACTTTTAGGCAGTGAGAGACTCCAGGTTCTGGATTTCTCCTTCGGGAGCCTGGAGAATTCTATCCCAGCTGGTCACAGCCATTAAAGAAGCTCTCAGAAGCTGAGCCTGGCTTTTAAAAGCTGTGTTTTGCTCCAGGTGGGCAGAGTGTTCACACAGCCTCCATGCCAAAAGCTCTTAAAATGAGCACCTGTGGGGACAGTTAAAGCTGTGGCTTGGGACGTGTGGCAGGAGCTGCTGAAGTATCCAGCCAGGCCCTGAGTATTCCAAGCTGGAGGTAAAATCCAGAGCTTTTTTTGGATAACTGTCACCAGCCCCACAGTTAATACCTCAAATACTTTGTGTGGCAGAAGCAGCGGGTGTCGATGAGGGAGGGTTTTTGGGAGGCCACCATCCAACAGCTGGAGCTGTGGTAATCCCAGCTGAGGCTCTGCCACGCTCCTGCCACTCTCCTGTCAAGCTGCTCTTTGTGGTTTGCTTGTAACCAGATGTGCTGCTCCTGTTTCAGGCCACTTGCTGGACATCAGGGCGGGGCACACCGAGGGATTCACTGCTGGCTCCATTGCCTTTTTGGTGCTCAATGCTTTTTTAATCATTTTGGGTAAGTCTCAGAACCACGTGGGATGTTTATTGAGGGGCATCTGGGGTCAGATCATGAATCCTCCTGTGACTGCTCCGTGGTGGAGATGCACCAGTGAGCGAGGCGAGGCTCTGCCTGTCTCTCTGATTAAGCAAGAATGAAGATGTTTTGCCCACAGCCAGTAACAGAAGCTGAGCTGGGCTTAGGAGAAACAGCCCCAAGGGAATGGAAGAACATTTCAAAGAAAATAAAAGGATCAAATCAGGTGAAAGTGTTCGACGCACTGGGCCACTGGCACCAATCCACAGCCACACTCCAGCCCAGCTGGTGTAAATCAGAACCTGCTTGGCTGCCAGAGAAGTGTTTTCCATGTGAGCACAGCGTCCTGGCAGATCAAGGGTTTGGCAGGGTGTCTGTGGAACCTGAGGGCTGAACAGACCCTGGCTGTGCCTCTTTGTTCCTCCACCAACAGGGAAATCAGAGCTGGGGCTGCTCGGTTTAATCAAACAAGCCTCAGTTGATTTAGGAACTCTTCTGCTGGTTCATGGACATTTTATGGGCCATGCTTGATGTGGGTCCCTCTTGTTTGTGTTTCTTTCCACAGCTTCCTCTTTTAATGTGGTGCTGCTCTGCCTGACCCTGGCCATGGAGCTCTTGACCGTTTGTTTTCTGCTCTTTACACTGGAGAACCTCCCTTTGCCATTTGAAAGTGAGTCTTAGGGAGTCTTAGGGGAACCTGGACATTAAACCTTCACCCACACGGCGCAGGGACTGGGTCCTGGGTTGGGGAGCAATGTGGGAAAATCAATCAGAGTGTTCCTCTTTCCCTGGAAGTCTGGGATGTGCGCAAGCATGACTGGAGAAGGAAACCTTTCCTCCTATCACCCCCAGGGCCTTGAGGTTCCAAATAAACAACTGCTGGATCAGAGCACCTCTAGAGGTTCTGTCCAGCTCTGCTTCCCAGTGGATGTTTCCTGAGGTGTGGGATGAGCTAGATATGCCACAGCTGTCAACGGCTGTAGTTCTGCTGAAGCCTTGGCTTTGCTGCAAGTGACAATTTAAGTTTTAATTCCGTGGAGTGCTTTAGCAAGGGGATTAGTGGGAGCTTTTCCACCAGGACCTTGTCACCGCAGAATAGAATCACAGCACCATGAAATCCAAGCGACTGAGTCCAACCATGCCCACAGCACTGACAAACCCTGTCCCCAAGTGCCACATCCACACTGTTAAATCCCTCCAGGGATGGGGATTCAATCATCCTTCCTGCCTCTGACTCTGGGATTTTTTCCAGTTGTGGTGCTGAGTATCCTCAGTGTCATCTGCTTCTACGGAGCCACAGCCTCTCTCACCAACTGCATGTTCGGGAAGGACCTCCTGGTGATGGGACCTCCTCTGCTCACAGTAAGAGTTCTTGGCATGCTGGTGTAGCTTCCTTGTTCAGAGGGGATGTTCTGGGGCCTTCAGTGCAGATTCCTGTGGAATTTCTCTTCTGCTGAGTCCTTCAGTGCTGTTCAGAGTCCTGGTCCCTTTGTAGGGAGCTGTGAGCTGGAAATGAGCTCTCTTCCATTAGGAATAACATTGGAGAAAGGGCAAGGATATTTACAAGACTGATACCTTGCTCCTGGGGAATCAGCCATCCCCAGTCTAAGAATTCTTCACAGACTGGAGTGTTTTAGCTATAACTTTGGGAACAGGGAACTTACAAATTTCCCAGACTGAACAACAAGAATTCCCCATCTTTGCTTAGCTTCAAACTCCTGCCCTCTGGTGTGTGTGCCTAGGGCAATTCCCCCTATCCAGGGTGATGGATCTGCCAGCTCCAATTCCTGCTGCAGAGAAACATTTCCATTAAATTAGTGTTTCATGGGAATGCACTTGAAACTCCATCTTGGTCTGGATTTTGGATTCCTGAACAGTTTCTTTAGGTCACTTTGGAGAGCAGCCATTTCTCCAGGGAGATGTGCTGGGTGGGATTCATCTCCTCTAACTTAAGGCATTGGCAGTTGAAACATCCACCCCGAGCTGCTCTCTTTGACTTTAATAATTGGAATTCCCTCCCCTGCTTTGGGAGAAGCATTCCTAGAGGTGCTACCTTTAGGATGGCCAAGGGATCACGGCATGGTGGATCCCTTCATTCAGGTGAGTGCAATCCTGCCCTGTGTTCCATGTATTTGCTTATTCACTGCCTCCTGATTCCTGGCAGGTCCAGAGCTCCAGGAAGGACAGGGTGGATCCCCTGCCCTGTGTGTGCCCCAAGTCCCACCTCACAAGTGGCCTGAGGACCATCGCGGAGCTGCTGAACACGGGGGCCGTGTGTGGGGTCCCCACAGACACTGTGTATGCCCTGGCAGCCTCCTGCAAGCACCCTCAGGCCATCGAGAAGGTCTACAGGATCAAGGTGGGAATTCAGGGATGTCTCTGCTTACCTGACTCTGTGTCCTGTCCATGATTTTCTGCAGAGCAGAAAGGGGAGCCCCTGGTTTCAGGTTGTCCCAAGACTCAGGACATGACCATGGGCAGAGTACATGGACAGCCACACCAGAACATCAGGGATCATTTTCTGAGTGACCCCGGGTACAGCCCCTCTGCTCCAGGCTGGAGCACTGGTAATTAGGCAGCGACATCCCTGGGGATGGACAAAGCCCAACCCCAAACAGGAACAGCCACTCACAAGCGGGTCCAAACCTGTGTTTGTCCTCTGTGCCTCGTGAAGTGCTGAATCAGAATCCCAGGGCTGCATTCCCCCAGACTTTTGGAGCCATTCAGTGCTGGAACCAGCCCCAGAGTTTGCACCTTCAATCCAGCTTTCTCAGCCTGGCCCTGTCTGCTGTCCATGAGGCAATTTCCTGGCTAGCCTGGAGAAATAACCATAACAGACGATCTCAGCTGGCCCCGAGCACCAGCAGCGGCACAAAGGCCGTCTCTTCTGCGCTGCCCTGGTGCCAGTGCTGACCTTCCCTGCCGATGAGAGAATACAAACAGAATGTAAATACGTGCCCAGCTCCTGAGTCATTTGGCCCCACTGAAGCTGATGTCAGTTGAGGACTGAAATGACACCGCTTTGCGAGCTTGTTCTATTTCCCCTCCATCTCCACTGCTGGTTTCACACCGAACTTATTTCACCAAGCTTCTTCCAAAGCTCTGGAGGAGTGATAATGGAGATGGTGGTTTGCAGGGGGCTGAGGTTTCCATCCCTTATCCCACCACAAATTGGTGTGTTTGACCTTGGTTTTACACCGCAGAAGTTTGGAAAAATCAGGCTCCTGCTGTGCAACATCCCAAAAATGCTCATACTGAGTGGAGCACCACTGTTCCTGCGATGGATGTGCTTAAAGAGGGGGAATTGAATGCATCCCACAAGTTCCCAAGGGCAGGCTGCTGCTCTGTCTCCTCTTTAATTTGCACATGCAGATCTGAGCTGTGGCATCCATTACAGCTCAGCATTTGTGCAGACAAAGCATCTTCCTTGCCTGGAGCTCCTGCTCCCTGGGAAACACACAAACCAGGATTCCAGCAGGCTTCGAGGTTCTCCAGGCAAACTTTCCCTCTTCATCTGTTTTCCCTCTCTGTTTTTTCAGGACAGGCCTCAAGAGAAGCCCATCTGCATCTTTATTTCCAACCTGGAGCAGTTGCGAGCAGCTGCCCCGCCCATCAGCCCGCTGCTCTGGGAATTCATGGAAAACGTTTATCCCGGCGGCATTGGCTGCATTATCCAGAAGGGAGAGTGGCTGAAGAAGCTGGGTGAGATGAGCAGCACAACCCTTCTGGTCCCTTTCACGTTTTCACCATGGCAGGCCTACAATCCCAACACCCGTTGGGATGTGATGGGGAGAGATTCTGGTCACTTTCTCCAAGAAATCCCCTCTGGAGCTCTGGGATGCTTTGGTGGATGTTTAGCAGAGGGTGTTAATCAGCTGGAATGACTCATCAAGAGTGGGAGCCAGCAGGATGAGCTCTTTAACCAGAGGCAAGGGAGGCTCCTCGGCCTGGGAGGGTCCCCTCTCCCAAGCCCCCTGCTGTTGACTGGGAATGAGCAAGCCAGGGTGGAGCAGTGTCCAGGAGATGAGAGGGTTCTGATGGTCATCCCTGCTCATTGCCTCTGCCTCCCCCCACATGGACACAGGCAGGCACTGTGAGCACTGGGATGATTCACCTCAACCGCGGCTCCTGGGGAAATAGCAGGGAATGAGGGAACTGGAGGAGTTGGAGCACAAATCCTGTGAGGAGCAGCTGAGAGAGATGGGAAAGGGGCTCAGCCTGGAGAAAAGGAGGCTCGAGGGGCCCTTCTAGCTCTGCACAACTCCTGATGCAGGAGGGGACAGCTGGGGGGATCTGGCTGTTCTCCCAGGGAACAGGGACAGGAGGAGAGGGCACAGCCTTAATCTGCACCAGGGGAGATTTCGGATGGACATTAGGAAAAAAAATCTTCCCAGAAAGGGTGACTGGGCATTGGAAAGAGCTGCCCAGGGAGGTGTTGGAGTCCCCATCCCTGGAGGTGTCTAAGGAAAGCATGGATGTGGCACTTGGTGCCATGGTCTGGGTGACAAGGTGGTGTTGGGTCACAGGCTGGACTCGATGATCTCAAGGGTCTTTCCCAGCTCAGTGGATTCAGTGATTCTGAGTTAACCACATTTAACAAGCAGATGAAGGTGGTGGAGGATGGGAGGGTGGGCAGCGGTCACAGGAGGTCAGAGTTTGGGATATAGGGAGATCCTGTGTCTGTGGAAACAGCTGTGATGTCTCCAGTTGTGAATAATTTCCTTTTTACCCAGCTGGACCCCAAACTGTGCCTCTGCTCTCACAGATTTCTGCTTAGGAATGGACATCCACAAAGACACATTTAGTTGGATGCATAGAGCTTCCAAAGGAAGCAGGAGATCCCCCTGGTACCACGACAGGGGCTATGCCAGCTGTGCCTCTCCAACCTCCCCTGCCTATCCTTTCAGGGGTCGGAGCAGGATACAGCAGGGTGGGAACCCAGGACAGCATCATGATCCGAGTCCCTGACCTGACGGTCCTGGTGCACCTCATCGACATGACCGGGCCCTTGGCCATCACCTCGGCCAACCCCAGCGGGGAGGTGGACAGCACCCACCACGACATGGTCATCTCGTGAGTACCTGCTCACTGGCAGTGCCACCCTCCTGCTTCAGGGCTGGCAGACCTTGGATTGGTGTCCTGCACTGAGGGGAACCTCGGCAGGAGGTCACAGCAAGGTCTGTGAAGGGTTGTTGCTATTTGTTGCCCCACAGGCGCCTTGGCCATAAGCTGGAGGGTGTTCTCTGTGATGGAGAGTCTGACGAGGTGGTGGCATCCACTGTGGTCAACTGCACAAAGATTGATGAAAGTGAGTGTGAGACCCGCCCTTCGTGTCAGCAGTGGAGTTTTCCTGGGAGGCTTCCATGCCTTTCCCAGTATCAGTCTGGCAGCACAGAGTGCTCCAAGAGTAACAGCTCTTGAGTGCCTAGACATTTGCAAACATGTTGATGAAGGGAAACAAACAAAAGATGTCCTGGGAGGACCTCTGTGTTGACAGGGAACAAGGCAGGAGGACAAACACAGTGGTGCAAGGAAAATCTGCCTTGTCAGGGTGGAAATGCTCTGAGTGGGAGGGCTGGGTGCTGCTGGAAGAGGGCTGGGTGCTGATGGAAGGAGAGGTGGGTGCTGCTGGAGGAGGGCTGGGTGCTGCTGGAAGAGGGCTGGGTGCTGCCTTGGCCCAGCACGACGAGGGTGGTACAGGAGCTTGCCCTCAGCAGCACACGCTGAGGTGTCCTGGGTGGCTCTTGCTGACATTTGAGAGGGATTCATTAGTGGAAAACCAAACCCTTGAACAAAGTGTGAGGTCAGTGTTCATCGGTGGTTTCACTTTCTGGTCCTTGCACACTAGTTTATTTTGAGTGGCTTTGCTGGTGCGAGATGTTCCTTTACATTCCTTTTTGTGCCACTTTGGGGATTGTCCTGACTTGCTCATTCTCCCTCTGGGAAGGTGGCATCACCATCGTGCGGGAAGGCTGTATCCCAGCTGGAAAAGTGATGCAGATCTTTGAAAGGGTGAAGAACAGAGTAGTCTGAACGGAAGGAGCCTTCCCTGAGCAAAGGAACAGAGTCTGCTCTCCCTAAAAACATGAGGTGTCCCATGTTTGGCTGGAGCACATGGCCTTGGGAGAGCCATTCCTTCTCTGATCTGATCTTACCTCCTTGGGAAAGGCAGCACTTCCCCAGCTGGGGCCTCTCCTGGGACCTTTCTGCAGTGATTTGTTGTTTATCCCCAGTAAGTGCCTGCAATCTCCAGGAGAGCTGCCCAGGAGCTGATGATTTACTGCAGGAACTCCCAGAGCTCCTGTGCTTCTGCAGTGCATTGGACTGTGAACACAATGTTTGTGCATCCTCTTCCACAACACTCACATCTGTGTATTTTAAAATCCTAAACCCCACTAAATAAATCCTCTTTTTGGAACATAAGGAGAAGGATTTGTGTTTCGTTTGATCTCCACTGAGCTCCTCATCCTCCCAAACTGGCAAAGCTCCATGACTAAACACCAGAGGAAGGAGTAAATACAGGGAGGTGCAATTCTGACAGAGGGTTTGCAGCAAGTAACTCACCCCATTCCTTCCCTGCCATCTTCCTAGCCACTCCCAGCTCATCCCAGGGCACTCAGCTCCTGGAAAATGCGGAGGAACATCCATGAACATCTGTGGCCAAGCTGGGGGCTGCCGAGGGCTCAGAGTCATGGGTTGGCTTGGGTTGGAAGGGATCCTCAGGATCATCTCGTTCCGACACCTTGCTCCTGGGCTAAGTGCTGCTGCCCCAGAGCTGTCCCCACACAAGTCCCCAGGGCTGTTCCCACCCCTGTCCCCATGTTAAGCACTGTGGAGGGGCAGAATTTTCTGCCAAGAGCAGAGAACAGAACCTCCCTCTCTCCCAAAGCAAACAAGCCCCAGGGGGAGCCAGGGATGAGGGAAACCAATCACTAAAGACAAACCTCAGCAAAGGAAACAATGAGTTAGACCCGAAGGCTTCAAAACACTGCGAGGTGCGTGACAGATTGGAGATTTTCTGTAATGTTTTTTCCCATCCTGGAGGCAGTGTCCAAGTGGGAGACCTCTGCCAGTTCCCTGTCGTTGTTCCCTCTCCTCCCTCCTGCTCTGGGCAGGGAGGTCATTCCCCTGGCACAGCCACAGTCCCACCTCCCACCGCCTAGGGGATGAGACCCTTCCCTTCTCTTGCTCCTTATCGTTGTTTTGGAGCATCTTGCTCATGGAATTCTCCCTCAGGCCATGTCCCACCTGCTCACCCGATGCTGCTGTGGGAGCTGGGCAGGAAAATCTGGGAGCCCTGGGGCTGGATTCCACTCAGGCCTCGTTTCTGACATGTCAACACCAACTCCAGCCCGAGGGTGCTCGCTTGCTTTGGCGCTGCCGTTGTTGTCCAGTTGGTGCTGCCATCCCGTTTGCTCTCAGAAGTCGCCATAAATAGCAGCTCTCTCTCCTTCTCCAGGTCACGGATGTTGTTTCATCCCAGCAGCTCCCCAAACTCCCGGTCAGAGATCCTTGGCAGCCGTTCCTGGGATGGAACACAGGCTCCCCTTCACCCCGCAGCCTCCTGACCCTGCAAACCCACTCGGGCACAGCTGGGTATTCCCAGCTCCTGTGGTTTCCCAGCCCGTGCCAGCATCTGGAAGTGGAAGTTCGTCAGGCTCTCCGCCCTGCACCCTGCACATGCCTGCTCAACAACCTGGGCTGGTGGAAGGGGATGAGCTTCCAGGTCCCTTCCAAGCCAAACCATTCCACGGTTGTGTGATAAACACTTATTCAATAAACGGATGTAAGTGCCAGCTGAGGTTCATCACCACCCAGCAGAGGCTTAACTTTAAGGCATGTGGTGAAGTCCCACAACACGGGACTCCTCTCATGTTTAAACACCTTAATGCTTGAAAAACGACTTGAACTTCCTGAGCAAGTGAGGTTTGTTAATATTGGCTATAAACTGCTGGAACAGCAGAAAAACCCCGAGAAAATAGAAAAGGACAAGGTCCCTTCTTGACTTCTGACCTGGGACTGTGTTAGATTATCTCCATGTTGGTGCCGTGGGAGGTGTCAGCTCCAGGGAAGGGTGTGGAGCTCCCCAAGTGCCCCTTCACTGCTCACACCAAACAGCCAGGACTTGGTAAATCCAGGCAAGGATGGAAAAGTTACCTCTGGTGCTCTGCAGCAGGTAAAGGGAGCCCAAGATGTGTCAGGCCTTGAGGAAAGCATTGGATCGAAAATCAGGGGGGAGAATAGAAACAGATTCCAACCAGAGCTACAAAAAAATCCAGAATTTATGTTATAAGTGGGGCAAGATAAGAAAATTACAGGAGTTTACTACTTCATTTCATGGAGAATGGAGATCAGTATTTCCTTATAAAATGTATGTAAAGAGTCCCCTCCCAGCAGAGCACAAGGAAATCAATAAACTGTCTGTACTTATGGGCGACTGAGCCAGGGGTGTAAAATTTTATGCAGTAATGGAGTTTTTATAATTTACTGAGTAAGGAAACAAACAAATTATGTTAGAGGAAAAAAAAAAAAAACAAACCCCAAACAGTCACCCTAGTCTGGGCTGCTCACTCACATCTCATGAGTGTTCTGGTGACTCAGGAGTAATTATGGGTCAGAGGTGTTTGCTCTGCACCTGTTTTCCACCATCAGGTGATAAAAAAGAAAAACAGGGGATTTTAAATTAACACAATAAATGGCACAATCAGTTTGTGCCAGGAACAAGTTCTCACCTATTTTTGCTGCAAAGAAGGAAATAAATTTGATTTTTCAGTGGTGCTGCTAAATAAAGGGGAGTATGTTCTTAGAAAAAAAAAACCCAAAAAACCAAACACATTTGGAGGAATCAGATAACCCTAAAATGGTTTGGGTCAGTAGGGACCAAACCCAACCAATAACCCTTTTCCCAATCCCTGCCATGGGATACGTTCCACTGGACCAGGTCATTTGTGCCTTGCACATACAGCTGGGAATTTCTGACCAGCATCATGAAGGTTGTGGAGCAAAGATTTGCTGGGTTTGCTGATAAATCTCAGACAAATGGCAAAGAATTGATGTTATTGTGAAATGTAATTCACAGCATTTTAAGGAAAAGACTTTTTCATGGTAGTGCTATGCTGGAGATTCTCCATCTCTGGAAGTGCCCAAGGCCAGGCTGAATGGGACTGGGAGCAACCTGGGAGAGTGGAAGGTGTCCCTGCCCATGGCAGGACATGATCTTTAAATTCCCAAATATTTCAACCCAAATAATTCTGGGGTTCTTTGATTAGGTTTCTGGTTCTGCCACTTTAGCCAAATACATGATGGAATTGGTTACTGGGCTCTGAGCAGTTCCCAGGACAAACTAGGCTGGGAAATGGCTCAGACCTCATCCCCCACAGGGGTGAGCAGCACTGTGCTGGGGCTCTGACACATAAACCCAGCAGCAGAACGTTGGGGCCTGGAGCAAGGTCCCCATCATCACATTCCCACAATTCTTCCAAAGTAAATTCCCCAGGTCTCCACAGCCTCTGCCTGTGTTTCTGCAAGTTTAGAGGGAAACAAACACACCTACCTTAGATCAACAACAGAAGCCCTCAATTCCTTTAGTCAGGCTCCCTAAACACAAGGGCCTTTCATCAGAGCTATTGCTGATTTTTAACACCTCTTGTTGTGTTTTCCATTCTGCTGCGCACTGGAGAAGGCTCATTCCCAACTGGGAAGACTCCATTCCAAATGGAAACAGCAATGTCAACCAGAGTCGGTGTAAAGGATGCAAACCTTGTCATATATGTCCCTAAATTTCTCTTGTGGAGGGTTTCAATAATTTCCACCCCCCTTCTTACCTTGGTGTTTGCTCCAGTGAAATAATTTTCAGGGATTGAGACCAGGTTTGGCAGGGAGGAGCAGCCCCTTGTGTGTGCAGGGAGAGGGAAGGAGAGGCAGGGAAGGGAGAGGAGGCTTTAGGTAGCAGGACATTATTTTATTAATTCTTGTATTAGAATAAACGCTGTTGGAAAGTGCTGGTACAAAACTGAGCTTTCACATTGTCAAGGAGTTAAATTGCACCCATGCCAGTGGTGCTGCAGGACATTCCATCTGTGCTCCAGGAGATTGTGAAGGGAATATTGAGGAGTGACCACGGCCAGGCCTGTTCTGGGACCGAGGGACCAATGTCTGGGGGGTGGCAGCAAGTTCGGGCACCACCAGGGCTCCCGTGCCTCAGAGGGGGCTCCTTCCTCGGGAAAGCGGGATTTGGTCAGCTTAGCTTCCCAGAGAACTGGATTTCCATCTCTGTCTCAGCACAGAGAACCAACTCATCCTCATGCCTGGACTCTCTCACAGCAGCTTTTACCAACTCATGGTTTAGTCTAACAATAAGGAATTCCCTCTTGGCCAGGAGTTGGTGATGCCCTTCCCAGAGCTGCCCCACATCAAGGCTGTTGCGGTCTGGTTTCGGTTCTGCCCTGCCCATACCTATCTCCTTCCTTCTTCTTGGGCTTTTTTCACTGATTGATCAAAGAATTCTATTTGTCAGATAATTTTATGAGGCAAGAAAATGCACCTTCCTGGTGGCAATTAGGACTTGTTTGGGTTGGTGAGATCATCTGTCCAACCACCTGGACTTGGTTTCTTTATTCACTTCCAAAACAGCAGTGAGATTACATGTCTGCTCTTTCCTTATCCCTTCCTTATTCCTCACTTCTTTTGCCATTTCTAATTCCCACAAGAGAATCCTGTGCTTCCAATTAGGACTCGGTTGGTTTTGCAAGGGAAGGAGGGCCTGGAGCAATTGTAGGGTTGGGAAGGAGGGGAAGAGGGGTCTGTGGGACCCCTTGGGTCATGTAGGATCTGATAACCCAGTGTGGGACAACAGGAACCTTGGGAAGGCTGCAGGCACAGGATGCCAGAGGTGGTTTGGGGACTTTTTGGAATTTTGAGGAGATAAGGTGAGGGTGGTTGGGGTAGGGTCATTGCTGCCGACACCTACCCACCTTCCGGGTTCTAAAGAACTCCTGAAAGGAAACCAGGACATATCCTGGTCCTTTGGGAGT